AGTGTGACTGGCCCCAAAGTCACCCAGCTGGGTGTCTATGACAGGACTAGAAATCAGAGTCTCCCATTTTCTAGCTGTATGGACTTCAACTCCCAGCATTCCCCAGCCAGCATGCTGGCTGGGGAATTATGAATGTTGAAGTCCGTACAGCTTAAAGTTGCCACGGTTGAGAAACATTGCCTTAAAGGATATCCATATCCTTTAAGAAATGTGGTTGCAATCCCAGTAACATTTCTTTATAAATCAGGAGGTAAAAATCTCTTTCACAAGTCTGTTTAAATCCTGGGATTACATTATCTTTTTGTGCTGTGACATTCATGCTAGGAGCACTTATAGAACATATTTATTTGGGAAAAAAATAGGGTTTCTGTTTGTTTTCTTAGTCCCAGTAAAGCAAGAGAAACAAATATGCCCACATGTATATCTGTTCTTCCTTGGGAAAAATAAACTAACAGCTCCTTTTCTTGGAAAGGTTTGCCAAAAGAAATCTGTGACACCAAGATCTCCTCTTCCTAGACAATCCTCTCTGTTTGCGCAAGGTATTTAAGTCTATGCTGATAGCATCATCTTTAGAGAAGAACCCATTGCCCCAGCCTGACCCTCTAATCCCATTCTTCCCCTTAAACATGGTCTGCATAAGCAATCTCTCTCTCTCTTTCCCTCATACACGCATACATATAAACACCCACACTCCTGATGACAATCTCAATATAGATGTTTGAATTTGCAAAGGTTAAATATTAACTTTAGATTCTTAATACACAAGGACTGTTGGTAAAGTGTTCATCTAGACATCAGAGTTGATACACCAGGAAATTTGCAACATTGGGATCCAGCTTCACCAATTTCATACATGAAAAGCTTTATACATTAATTCTCTGCTCCAAGGATTCATCAAACACAAAACAATGACTGCTGTAGACAATGTGGTTAAACTGATCAAAGCCCTGGACAGCATTTGAAAACAGGTGGGGTCTTGGATGGTACAATTTACCAGTTACCATTTTGCATCCTCTTCCTCCTCAAACACTTGAGCAGCTTCTTTTGTCAGCCCAGGAACATTTCCAGCCCCCTGGAAACTGGCAAAGAGCCCACAGTAACGCTGTGTAAGTTTGGTGGGGATGAGAGAGGAGGAGAGTTGCCTTTGCAAAAGTAATGGGAAGACAGAAATTAAAATTGATTTTATTCTATTTACACTTAAAAGCTGAAGTAAAAGTTATATATAACAACATGATCTTCACCCAATTGTGTATTAATAATTTCCCATTCTGTTACACAAAAAACACAATTGGGGTGAGTCTCTGGGGGCCTCACTAAGGTATTCAGGAGACATATAGGTAGGTCCTGGGGCCTCAGGAGTTCACTTCAGTCCTACATTGACAGCTGCATCTTTAATAAAACATGTTTAATAAAATATTGAAAGGAGAAAGTTTTTTAGATTTTCCAATTTTAGGGAACAGTACATACTGGGAGGATGGACAGAAAAATGACACCAAGACCTAGATCTACCCTGGCCTTGCATAAAGTATTCCCAGTGAAGTGAATGGAGTAAAGCTTGGACAGGGAGGAATAGGAAGAACAACAGCTGAAAGAGAGTGGGACAGATTTATGCGAGAAGGTGGAAGCAGCTGATTCCGCAAAGAGAAGCGGTACAATGAATTCCTCCTGCCTGTAAACAAATTATCTCAGCAATAAGAATAATTTATTCAATTTATAAGTCCACCAATTAAAAATGACTCAAGAAGTCATGCAATGGATTCAAAACATCACAAGAAAACAAAGGAAGCAAATACAGTAATAGGGCAGACTGGGAAATACACAGAAATCTCCAACAACAATTCAAGTAGGATCACATATTATTGTTTTAATGGAAGTTATAATCTTTTCTTGACCGTTGATTGATTATGCACCATCAAGCCAGCATCGACTCTTAGAGACCACCTAGATAGATTATCTACTCCTAACCTGGTCCTTTAGGTCTTCCAAAGGCGCACCCATTACCATTACAACTGAGTCCATTTACCTCACTGCTGGCCATTCACTTTCTCTTTCCTTCCACCTTTCCCAGCATTACAGCCCTCTCCAGACAGCTAAGTCTTTGCATGTCTCAACAGAAGGATAATCTGAGCCTGGTCATTTGTGCCTCGAGGGAGAACTCTGGGTTGATTTGTTTGATGATCCATTCGTTTGTTTTCTTGGCTGCCCTTGGTATTCTCAGGAGTCTTCTCCAACACTCGTATCAAGAAAACAGTACAAGGAACTGCAATATTATCAACAGTCTTTAAAGGACAGGGAACCCAATATTGTTGAAAATAGTTTATGGGAAAGGGTGTGTCACCGGCCTAGTCTTCATAAGGCTGTTCTCTAGGTTTATGAGGGAAGCTGATGATAGAAGATACATGGATAGTCCCATGTATTCAGACTGGCAGAAGCGCACCATGTGGTGCTTTGGAATTGAGGCACTCTAAGCAGCTTTTAAAAGGTTTCAAATGAACTGAGAAACAGGCAACAGTCAGTAAATGGGATGGATGTCCAAAGCAATGTAACCTACTTACAAATTTTGGCTGAAATAACCAGTAGAGATTTCTCCAAGAGTCCCTTAAGATGATGTGCAGGTAACTTTACTGCACTGGTACAATTTTTCTCACACATCCTGAACTCCATCCAAGACCTTTGAAGAACGTGTAAAACTAAATCCTTCATTCAAAGTCCCTAGAAAGAAACAAGTTTCAAGGATGTCTTTGCTGATAAGGCTGCCATCATGTGGCTGCATGAAGAATCTGCTCTTTCATGAAGAGCTACTGCTTAAAACTGAGAACTACACTCTTTTGCTTGTGGAAGAAATTCCCATGCTTTCAGGAAGTGTGTTGCTTCTGCTACCCCTCTCCCCAAATCAACTGAATCACAAACCACTTGGAGGCCTTCTTATCCTACTGTCTAGCAAAAAGGCCCTTATACAATGAAGTATATGCAGGACAGGAAACATGAAAGAAAGATGCGTTAACAATTAGAGATGGGAGAGGAATAGGCATGGAGCTGTACCATTCAACACATCTGGAGCCATCTTCCCTAGCCTGATACTAGGAATTCTGATAGTTGTTGTGCCACTTATCTAGATAAAATCAGATTGGGGGAGGCTGATTTGGAGATTGACCTAAAAACTGGTTTACACAAACTCCAGTGATCCTAATCTTCTTGGTAAGACTTCCAACACCAAGCTATCAGCATCACCCATCTAAAAATCTGTCTGACCTCATCTTTTCCCAAAGCTTTTTGTCCCAGAAATGCTGTTATGTTAGATTTGTCAGGCTTTCAGGGATATTGACAACTAGAGCAAACCACAAAACACTATATCTGATCACCCACAATACCAATGAAACTGCCCAGTCACTGTGTACACTATCATCTTGAAGTATTCAACCCAAGTCTCTAGTTAATGGAGTTAAACGTGGATTATTTCCCAAGCTCATCCTTCTTTTGCAATCTATTTCTTGGGCAAATATTCAATAGATGGTTGCATATTTGATTCAATCTTGCACTCTCTGAACGCACTGGATTACAGCCCCTATTTTCCCTCAACCAACACAACCTGTGCTGGCTGGAGATGATGCAAACTGGTAGTTCAATGGAAGCTCCAAACTGGGGACAGCCACAGTAAAGAACTCCAGCCAAGAACCAGTAAAATTTGTTTTCTCAGACCTGGAATCAGATGTAATCATTGGAAAGGGATTAAGTAGAACTATTGCTCAAAAACTATTGATTTTGTTGGTGTGTGCTTATGTATATGTGAATATATACACCCCACCCATACACATATCCAAAAGGAGACAGGGGAATTCCACACTGAAGCAATTTGTTATCTTCACCAAAAATAGAAGCCATAAATTTCAATAATAGGGTGTCATTTAATTTTAGGGACCATGTTAAGAATTCATATTTTTTCTTGATTGCTTTAATTAGAAAAAACTTCCCAATAATTCTTTGAACTGTGCAAATTGGCCATGCTGGTCCAATCCTTAGGGCCACCTGACAAGGATTGCTCCACTTCTCTCTACCAGCAGCAGATCCAGATCTTCTGGAAGCTGCAAGTCCTTCCCTGTTAAGTAGATTCAGTCATCCTAGAATGGACCATAATCTCTGTAGTGTCTCTGCCTCCCTCCCTGCCAGCCAGTGGATAGAAAGGCTCTGACAGAAGGTGCTGCTGGAGTGGGTGTGGGAACAGAAAGGAGACGAGACCCAGGAAGATGATGTAGGATAGCGAAGAAGTTGCTGTAGCATCAGGAAACCAAAAGACAGGCAAGCAGAGGCAGCTTGAAGTGGCCTGGAGAAAAGAAGCAGCAATATTGCAACCAAGCAAGCAATGAGGAAAGATAGCGCTGAAGTGGGCTACTGAGTAACTCATCCAGTAGAGACAAAAAAATGGTTGGGTAAGCGTCTGTGGGATAACAGGGCCTGAAAGTGAAAGTGAACAGAAAGAGCTGGAGCGAATGCCGCCACACTTAAGCAATAAGCCACCCATTTTGGCAGAGCCTGTTAAGAGCTTGATTCACAGGCTACTGTTTGCATTCCTCAGACAGGGCTGGAAGAGGAAAGCAGATATGGGACTCAGCACGCAAAGCTAAAGCAGCACTAGAGCGCTATGTAAATAAGCTAACAGGTTAATAGGAATAAGCCTGGGGATCAGGAATTTGGATGAGATAGCACAGGAGTAGCAAATAATTAGGATTAAAACTAAAGTTTTACTTTTGTAATTGCTGAGCGGTAAATAAATCCTTGCAAGGCTGAAACAATCCTGCTTGTGTCAGCATTATCCAAAATGAACCTGTGACAGTGACCACAGCTTTGATCCCTTTTAGAAAACACTAAAAATCTCATTAAACCTGTTACATCTATAAGGAAGGGAATGAAATGAAATCCTAGATAAATAAAGTATATTACTTAATTTTGTACTTTTCAACACTCAACATCTTTCAAGGAAAAAAAAAGCAAAACAGCACATGTATAACAAACATGTTTATTCAAAAAAAGTAGGACACTGTTAACAAGGGCAAAATATACAGGCAGCCTTCTCAATTACCTATCAAGGGGCAAGAACCTGTTTCTCTCCAGCTGGTACTGAATTATAAGTTGTAGTAACCCCCACCTGGCCAATAGTGAGCAATGTTTCAGATTTTATGAAATTAAAAAATACATCTTTATTTTTTCTCAAAAAGTGAATCCAGAAAGTATCTTCAATAACTATGAAATATATCTACTACTGCAGAGAATGTGGCTCATATAAAAGTAAGATTAGGAGTCACACAAGATTAGTAAAATGGACTCAGTAGCATTCCCTGAGAAATAGATAATGTTCACTAAAAAAAATTAACCTTAAAAACAGATATAAAAACGCATTTGGAAAAGAACAGCCCCTGCTTTTTACTTGGAGGAAATAAATACCATCAGGAGCAAAGGGCTTATAACTGGACAGTTTTCTTAGTATCAAGAAAATCTTAAGAAGCATCACAGTATTAATTTTTTTTTCAAGAGCGGGAATTATATACTTTCAGTTTTCCAGCAACTCCTCAGTTTTTTCCACAGAAGCAGCAGCATCTGTTACTTCTAACAGCCACCAGATTGAGTGAGCTTTTCAATTCAGCACCAGTTGCATCTCGATAAATTAAAATCTGTAGCAACTGTCACAAACAAAAGTCCCGATCGCGGCAGCATCCACATCCGGGACATGGGCACCCATTTCTTTAGCTCCACAGCTAACCACACCCAGGTAGCTCTACCGCCCCTCATGCCTTGGGGAGAAGCAAAGATCCCAGACCAACTTAGTCAGGCTGCTGCCATGATTGCCAGTTCTCCAAGATCGGCACATAGGTCTGTAACAGTACCATGACAAGGAGAGCTGCGCACTGGAGGGTCCCTACCGTAGTCCTGCAGATGGCTACTTTCCTCGTCTATCTGCTATAGCAAGTTCTGTTCCACACTACCATGCTAGATTATTTAGAATATAAAACCAGAGATAGGGTTAAAGAGCAAAAAGACATAGTGGTAGACCATTTCCTGCTCACAGCCTTTACTTGAAAAGGCAGTTTGATTTTTAAATGTCAGTGCCATTGCTGGGAATGGAGAACTGCTTGTGGCATCTTACGATGAGGTAACAAGCTTAATTAGTGAAAACCAGAAAAACAAAACAAAACTGCATAATACTCCACTCAGGGTGAGTATTCTCAGGCATCTGGAGAGTTACTCCCAGGGAAGCTCAGCTATGACTTCTGTTGCTTCTTAGCTGGCTTGATAGGAGAAAGCTCTTCCTCCTCAACGGATTCCTCTTCGTCATCAATGAAGTCATCATCTGAGAGATCCTTCCTGTGAACTGAGAAACAAATCAGCTTGTTTATACCATCTAGAGAATTCCTCAAGCCTCTCTCCTTCCTATCACCCATTAATTTCATTCTAAAAAGAATGAAATTTAAGTTGGCAGAGCACCCCATATTTAGTAGCATGTTCACATAATATCCTCAATGGTTTGCACTGCTCCAAACCCGATGCCAGTTCTGTCAGATACCAGTTCTCTTTTCCATGTAAATGACAACAACCAGCCTATACCCCACACCAGGAAAAGCCCCAGAATCCTCAATACTGGTCATGCTGGCTGGAGTAGCTGAGACATTTAACCTGGAATTGTTGGCTCTCTACTCCAGAAACAGCTACTATTTTTCCCCATCCCTTAATTACTATGGCACACTCATTGTATCCAACAGCTTCTTCAATCCCACTCCCAGGTTCTTACAGATTTGATGTTGTCCTGCAAGATGAACAGGGCCAGATCCTGAGCGTAGACGAAAGGTCACTGGGGGCTGGAACTCAAAATTATTTAAACACAACTGTGAAAAAATAAGGAGAAAGGGGAATTATGAAACAAGATGAGTATCTCCAGTTCTCATTTAGTTCAACAGGTTTTGAGGCTTATTCAACTGCTTTGTTACATCTGTGGCTGGCTGGTTGGCTGTCTGTCTGTCTTCCTTCATTCCTCTCTCTCTCTCTGAGCCATGCCATCCGCATACAGTTAAAGAGAAATACTGCATTCCTAATTTGCAAATTTAACTCTGGTTAACACCTTTTAAACCAGATCAATATCTCCACAGTTATTCTAGCGATTCACTAAGTATTATGTCACGCCACCTATTTAAGCTGATTAAACAGATATGATCTAGAAGGATATGAGTCAAAAAAGATTTTCTGACCAAATATTAAATAGTATTTCACTCAGAATGAACATTTTTTGGCATACTCTAGAGAAGCCATTGAAGGCAGGTTTTGGAAAATCTGGCTGCACATCTCAATCTTTGGAGTATATCAGAGGGGCCACAGTATTGCCAACTGTGTCTGAAAGAGCAGAGAATTTTCCTATTCTTGTCAAGTCTCTCAAGTCAACATCCTAGAACCACTGCACACCAATTTTCTCCCCAAGACACCCACATTTCCAAAAGATCATTTTACCCAGGGCTGGCACGACAGCTTCAGGTTGGCCACAGGCACAGCAACCTCCTTGTTCTGATAATCACGACCTACCACCTCCACAACGTTGCATTCATCTTTGGCGCCCTCAGACAGACAAGCCTTGAAGAGGGAATGAGAAACAAAACTGAAGAGGCATGCTGAGGAATGCTTCGCTAAGAACGAAAAGCCATCTTAAGCTTTAATGCTGAACTTCTTCAAGTAAGCAGTTGGGAGCAGGATAAGTACAAAATCATCCAGTAACAGATAAACAACGAACAGAGTAAAAAAAGTAAATTAGCCAATTTGCAGGCTGGGTAACCCATCCCATTAAATAGACCCTGCAGCCTTCATGCACCTAACCTCAAAATCTGCTCAGGACAGTACAGGATGCCTCTGGTGCAGACTGAGGTACAGAGAGAAGAAACAATACATTCAACAACACTGGATTTATATAGGTTTCTAATCCTCCTGCAGCAAAGTTCCCATCAGTGCTAAATTTACCGATTACAAGAAGTGTGCAGAACCACAATACACCTAGGAGACTCCACTCTAAAAGCACAATTCTTGCTTTATGATTCTAACCAATTAACATTTGGGATGCTACAATCAGAAAAGGCAGTCTTCAGCACAAAATACTTGATTTTGTGTATGCATGGGTATGCACAGGCATGCGTTGCATTCTGTGGCATAACCAGAAAAATACAAACAAAATCAACAAAGACTCAGAGCCCTCTTGTCCAGGCAAGAGATAATATTAAAGCAGCTTTGCCAGCAAAGCATTTTATCAAATACTGCGAAGCTAACAGACTTTACTTCCAGGTTGGCCACAGAAGATGTGGATCTCCATTCATTGTAATCTGCACAGAATTCTACCTTACTAACAGGTTACTGAAAATAAAAATCTTCTGTCACCAAGTACGACAAAGACCCAGCCAGCCATCCCCTCTTCCATCAATTTTCCACATTTCCCTATTAGTTCCCTAGAAAGGGAGTCTTCTTGATCTGTAACTAGGATAGAAATCAAGGAGGTTGGCAGAAGAACTAAGTGATCCATCCTCTTCTCTCTACCACCTTTTCACTTGCTTGCATGGTTTCTTCATTGTTTCTGGCAACGAGATGGGTTTTTAAATTGTAACTCGGTGTGTCACCCAACTATTATTGAGGCCATGAAACAGTAATGAGGACCAGTTTTATTCTGCCCCAGCAATGGCTAGTGATGCTGTAAGTTACTAGTGGGGAAACAGCCTGTCGCTAGTATCCCCACTTCAGAGTGAAATCTCTTACCATATTCAGAGCTAGGAAATGATCTGAATCATCTTCTTCCGAGACTTTGAAAGTATAGGAACGGACACTGCTGTTCAGCTCGCATCCTGGGGAAAAAAAATCCAAGTGAATATTATACCAATTAATAAGGCAAATTGCAAAAAACAGCAGCAATGATTCCCTTAAATGGAAGAGGTAAGTTTCTCCAACTGCAGAAATGCTACATATTTCAGAATCTTGCATATTGCAGAAGCCAGAAATAAATCCAGCATGATCAAAAGCTGAGACCAAAAGCTTTTGGTCTCTGAGCTGAGCTTGATTTCTGCTACCTCATGGAAATATCCATCTCATTTTCTTAGCAACAATACAAAAATGGTTTGCCACTATCTTCTGCAATGCTTTTTCAACTTGCTTTGTAATGATCTCCAACTATGTTCCTCAGCTTGTAAAGATGGAGCACCATCTTTGAGTCTTCTTGTAAAGCCAAAGGAATTAAAAGAGTATTTTTGATTTTCAGAATAAACAGGAAGATCTAGAAGTTTTACCAAAACTATTTTAGCATTGTATAGAAAAACACGTTTCTTGGTTATTGGTCTACTACTTCAAAACTGCTGCCCAGACAAAATTATCTCTTATTAAGAATTTTGGAGATAATTTTCAGTTATATGTTGTGTTTCAAATCCCCCATCAACTTCTACAGAAGCCGATTAAAAAAGATACAACAATCTCTAGTGTGCATTCACTTCAATATTCCCGCATAAAGAAAACACCACACAGCAATTTTTAACAGCTTCATTTTAGATTACCAACGTTAGAATACTTTGCTATGCAACTTCTCCAACATGAACTGGAGTTGAGCGAGACTTACAGCCTGCCCTGCTCTATTCTTTCCCGCAATTAAGTTTCACCCTGTTCAACGAAATTTGTTCCCAACGAAACAATACGCCACGTTTATTCAGCAGATAAGTTATTTGCGGTGCAGGAGGCGCAAACAGCACGTGGCTGAAGGCCTTCCCAGCCTTTCTCCAACGCAACGAGCCGAGCCGCTCGCAAGAGCCGAGCTCGGGAAAGCGAGCGGAATCGGGGCTGCGTGGCACGTGCTGCGTCCATGTGCTCAGCGTTCCAGGGTAAGACCCGAAAAAAACGGGCCCTTCGCCTAACATACCGTTGTCACTAAGCCACGATTTAAGTAACCATAATGATAAAATTAATCCATTCTTTTGAGTTCGCACAACATACAAAAGTGTAAAGTAACCAGGATTGGGTTCCCACTAGGCTAAAATGCGGTTGCTTAGTTTGCGGTTCAGGGTACCGTGCTAATACAACCATTACAAGCCCTATTTAACTGATCCCAGCGCTATCAAGTGCTCCCAAACAATACCTACTGCACGAGCAAATACCCGTCTCCATCAAAGCCCCTTATTTTGCCTCCGATCCCCCCCTCCCCCCGATTCTCAAATATGACCGCCAGCCGAAACTTCCGGCCTGCGAAGTCCCCGCACATCTTTACCAACCGAACACGAAACGGCCGGTGCAAATTGGCGGCGTAGCTTCGTCAGCCATGCTCTCCAGGTCCAAGAAAGAGGCCATGCCTAGCCAGGAAGCGCGGAGGAGAAAGGAAAAGGGGTGACAGGAAGACGCTCGCGTGGCGCCCCGCCTACTGCCCGCCCCGCCGGGGCAGCTCCGACCGGCAAAGCAGCTTTTCTCCAATTACAAGCTTGTCCGCTCAACGGCGCCTCGTTCATACGGTACTAACTGCGGAGGTCGTCTGTCCCTCTGGGCCGTTTTACTGTTTTTTTAAACCATCCTTTCTTCCTTAGAAAAGTTCCTTTTTTCAAAAAAAAAAAAGAAAAAGAAAAAGAAAAGAAAAAAACAAGTAAGAAAGATTCTGAAACTAAACTATGCAACTGTAGAAAGGAAAAAAAAAAGTAGGGGACCCTGTTGCAGGAGACAAATCTTATCTCTGCTGGGTGCATTGGCATTAGGATCCCAAAACTATGAAATCCAAAGCTCTCTAAAAGAAAGGTGATGCAAGGGCTGTAGCTGATGGAAGTTCTCAGATTCTAGCCCTTACCAATGAATGTTATCAGAGTTTCATGTAGGGTGTACTAAAGGGAGCGTGAGCGAAGTTCTCACCACACAGATCCTAAAAACAGGTCATGTCCTGGTCAGAAGGAATTTGGGAAAACTTCTTGATGCCTGTCAGTCTGGAAAAGGGGTTCCACCAATCCACATGTCAGAGATACTGTCTTAAAATGGATAATAGAGAGACAAAAGAGAAATTGAGTGGCTATCCTATCAAAATCATCCGTAAAGTCATACAGATCATGAAAATAGCATCCAAGGATCTGTAGGCCTCTTTCACTTTGACTAAAATCAGTATTCATCACTCCAACATCAGAGAAGCACTGGGTAAAAATGGGATTCATGGGAGAGTAGCAAGTTGGAAGTGATTCCTTTCTAAGAACATAGATGTTTGTCTATGATTTGCCAAAAAGCACCTAGATGACCCTCCAGATTTCTGGAGGAATATTTTTTGGACAGATGAGTCAAAAGTGGAACTTTGGGGTGTTGTTATGTCTGGCAGAAGCCAAGCCTTCAACCAAGAATCTCCTACCAACTATCAAGCATGAAAATGGTAATACCCTGGACCTGATCAACTTGTCCTCACTTAAGGAAGCATGACTTCTGCTTTGTATCAGAGACTTCTACAGAAGAGTATGAGGCCATCTGTCAGCTGAAGCAAGACAGTAATCCCAAACAAACAAGCAAATCTATAGCAGAAAGGATGAAGAAAAACAAATTCTGTGTTTGGAATGGTCAAAGTTTAGACCTAAACTCAACAGAAATGTGGCATGAACTGAAATAAACAATTATGTTATAAAACCCTGAAATATTACTGAGTTGAAGCAGTTCTGCATGGAGAAATGGGCCAGAATGTCTGTGATTTGAAAGACTGATGACTAATTACAAGAAGCATTTGACTACATTTATTGCAACTAAAAGTGCAACCAGATACTAAATCTAAAGGGGGCAATTACATCACATGTTTATACATGTTTTATAAAATAAATGAAGCAACATCAACCTTTGGTGTTATTTGTTCATCAGTGGGATCCACATGAAACTGATAGCATTCAGTGTCAAAAATTCAGACAACCCTAAAAGGGAGGATGAGCAAATAGTTTCTTACAAAACTAGTCTCTGAAGACAGACTTTTACAGGTTTGGAAAGAAGTTAATGCTGAGCTCCAAGGAGACTTTATTTCCAAGTAAAAATGTAAAGACATTCTTAACTCCTGATAAAAATCAACCAACAACAAAGGTTGTTCATAATTGCCTTCAGTATTAAAAAAAAAAAAAAACAAGCCAGGTAGAAGCTGCAGCTACATTTGAGAAGACTCTAAGTTATACATTCTTTTCAGTCACCTGAAAACACCAGCTAGACTGGATCAATTCTTTACTGCCATCTGGTGACTGGCAAGGTCTGAGGCCAACAACACAGGAGAAAAAGAAAGGGAGTACTTACAGATTGGTAGGAAACTATGACAGTAGGGGTCATAGTAGGGGTGCTATTCACAACCTCAGATATTTCTACATGTATTCATGGAATATGGGAAACAAAGAGAAGCTGAAATCCTAACACAGGAGGACAAATGAGATGCAACAAGCAGCTCTGAAAGCTGATGAAATGACTCCTAAGAGTGAAACTTAACCCTGGAAGGCTAGCATTTTTCAAAAAGAAGTAAGCTTAACCAAAGGGGAAGCAGTATTGTGCTGTACTTAAAAAAAATAATGTGTGGCACCTCTCAAATTGGAGCATGGAAATCATGTTAAGTGTCTCTTGGTAAGAATAAAAAGGGAAAGAAACAAATGTGATACTGTATAGGAGTTTCTTCTCGAAAGGCAGAAGATACCGATGAGAGCTTTGTCAGATGACCAGACTTTCAAAGAGGTAGGCTGTAAAGACAATGGGACATTTCAAGTATTTTGATTCTGTCCTCTCATGCTAATTTCATTTGTCTGAAGGTGGAAGAAGTAACAAGGGGATCTGTGATCTTGGATCTATTCCTGATTAATAGGGAAGAATTGACTGAGGAAATTTATTTATTTTGAAGGTGACTGGAATCTTGGAAGATAGTGACCATGTTATATTTCAGTTTATGTTGTCAACAGGAGGAGAACAAGAGTGAAGACTTGATTTCACAGGAGTAGGTTTTGATGAATTCAGAAAGCAGGTCAAGTCTAATGGCTTGAAATCATGAAGGAGAAAGGTGTCTTGGAAGGATGGAAAATACTGTAAAACAAAATACTGCAAAAAAATCCTACTGTAAAGAAAAATGGGAGATATCTAAAAAGACGACCGTGGATGCATACAGAGATTTCTAAAATGCTGAAAAGAAAAAGGGACATGTATAAGAAATAGAAGAGGCATATAAAAAAGAAACACCAGAAATTGTAAGAATTGTGTCAGAAAGGATAAAACTGAAAATGAACTGAAACTTGCGAGAAAACAAAAAAGGCCTTTTTGGGTATGTTGGAAATGAAGGGAAAGCAGCTGTAGGTCTGTCATGAGGAGAAAGAGATAAGTTGGTCATGAATTGTAACAAGAAGGCAGATTGTCTTAACTTGTATTTATATATTTCCTCTCAGAAGAGACATGAATCCATAGCTGGCCATTATTATCCCACTAGTGAAAGAAAGGAGCTGCAGTTCAGGATGGACAAGAGAGAAAGAATTATTTTAACTAATGTACATGACATCAGAGCCAGATGAATTATATTGAGGGATCTAGTACAGGTGACTGCAAAATGGCTCTCTAATCTTTGGGAACTCTTTGGGAATTGTGAGGTCCCAGAAGACTGGAGGAAAACAAATGTCCCTATCTTCAAAAAAAAAAAAAAAAAGAGGAAGGACCCAGGAATAACAGACTTTCAGCTTGATATCTTTATTGGACAAGGCCTTAGCAGATTTTACATATTAAAAAATGTTACCCTTGGATAGGGATGCAACAGTTAACAAGAGCCAGCATGGGCCTGTCACAAACAAGTCATAACTTAATCTAATTTTGACAGTCACTAGCTTAATAGATTCAGAGGAGTGCTGTGCCTATAGTATTGAGCTGAGTCCACAGGGTTCTCTGCTGAACAATATTCTAAATGACCTACTGTAGATGAAGAGGTTGTGTCGTGATCCCGCTGCACACACACACACAAAGGGGTCTATGATCCGATACAATCCCCAGCTTGCCTGACAGCAGCGTTGTCCAGTCCAGTCCAGTCTGGGCAGTGCAGTGCAGGAAGCAGGAGCGCAACCAGTCCAAGACAGGGCTCACAGCAGCAGTTTCCAGAGGAGACACAAATGAGACATGAGCAGTCACAAGCGAGACACAAGTGGGTAACTAGACGGTTATCATTACCGAAGACTCCCCTTCTACTCAGCCTTATTTTATGACGGCAGCCAGTGTTCCTCATTTCTGACAGCGAGGTTCCCTTCTCGCGAGCAACCTCGCTGAAAGCCTTTGCAACATTCTCTTTTCAGCGCGTCTCATTCTAGCATCAGGTGGTTTCACGCTTTCTGCCTCATTATCTGAGACTGACTCCGGTTGTTGCTCACTGTCCAATCTCGCCTCTAATGACTGCTCAGCCTGCTGTTCGTCCGGTACTTGCTCATACTCTGACTCCTAATCAGACTCAGAGCAGACCATGACAGGCTGTGGGAATAATTAACAAGTCTGCACACAACACAAAACTAGGAGTGACTAATGCTTTATTTTTCATTTGTCATTCAGTGATTAGGATGCTCTGAAAATAAGAGAAATGAGATGACAAAATGTGCTTAAAAAAAGTATTAGAGATGAAATACTCCAAAAGGATTAAGATTTCGTTTTTCACTTGCTCTGAGGAAAAGTAAGTACCTGAAAATAATTTCCTCAGAGAAAACAGAGTACAAAAATAGCCATTCTCTACATTCTGAATAAGAGTTAACAGATACCTCCCTACACAAAAACAGACTACACTCCTACGGTCACTCTGTTCCTAAATAATAACCTACACATACTGTGTTTTAGACTACATGATCTAGCCAAGACTTGGAGGAAGGTGATGGTCCATTCAGTGTTTCAAGTGGATAGTACGTTATGTGTGTTACCTTCTGCTGTTACCAGTTTTATGTTACAGAAGGTCATCTGTTGAGGCAATTAAGGTTCCTTAAGAACACTTGAGACAATTATTAACTTACCAATAATATTTCTACAGGAACATCATGGCAAGAGTTTTTGTTTCTTCTGTGTTGTTTTGAGAACAGATGAAGTTCACCTCTGGCCTTCTGGTCTTGTAGAGGCAACAGCTGTGCTAAGTTGAGCCAGGGACTTGCTGCTTTGGAGCAATTTAATAACCAATTAAGCCCAGTGATACAACTTCTCAGCGCAGCAAGAAAATCAGTTCACAAAGGTAATTTAGGAGACCTGGTAGATTTTCTAGCTATGAAGGGGTGGGGAGTGGAGTTTGCTGAATGTCATATTTATAGCATTTTATTTCTGTGGAGTAAAAACAAAAGTATTACCCCAATGAGATACGAATGAGTTTTCCTGTAGCTGGTTTATACCTTCCCATCTTAACAGATAAGAAGGGATTCCAAAATGCTTGGAATGGAGCAGTCCCAAAGGTACCACTGGCAGAAGCAGACATCATATTCTTCCTTGCAGCAAAGCAGTTTCCTTCCTGTTCTGTCAAGGAAAGTCCTGAGAGTTTTGAAGAACAAAGGAGCAGGATGTTTGCAATTGAACTTGATCTGCGTAGCATGCTAGTCTTTGTATTGTCGAAGGCTTTCACGGCCGGCATACGATGGCTGGTGTGGGTCTTCCGGGCTGTGTGGCCGTGGTCTTGAAGTTTTGTTTCGCGAAACGTTAGGAAACAA